GAGATAGAGCCTTAAAACCTATTCCATTCGATTCCTGAGGAAATTTGGGTTCCCCATAGGCAGATAAATTAAACACCTTTTACCGATTCAACAATAACAACAACGTTGGAATACAAGAACAAGTCCCCGAGAACGCAATTCTGAGCCGTCCATCTGCCTATAGGGAACCCAAATTTCCTCAGGAATCGAATGGAATAGGTTTTAAGACTCTTTCTCTTTAATTTATCTTGTATCAACGTTGGAATTATATTGACAATATTACGCAAATTTCAATCACAAAATTACCCTAATAGCGGGAAAAATGGTATTGCTACAGAAGATCGTAGAAACAACTTAAAATTGGTTTAAATGGGAATCGCGGAGACACAAACATGAATATTTAGGCAACTAGAATCGATAAAGTGGGCCCTTTTCGTGCAGACGTCCACGAATAGAGTTTAGACTTTCAGATTCAGGAATTCATCTATGATCAGTATTAAACCTTTATCTAGGGTGCACAGAAAAATATGGCATGGTGCGAGAATGAGCCACAGGAATTCTTATTGAATTATTGTTTCATTGTCAAATATTGTCTAATTCCTGACGACCGCCGAAGCCAATACACAGTAATTGACTCAGAATGAAGACTCATTATTGATATAATAATATAGAAATAAATAGTCGGGAACTTACTAGACCAAATAAACCAGTACTTGTATGTACTGGTTTATTACATACTTATTATTATTACATACAAGTAATAAACCAAAACTTTTTTAAGTAAAAAGTGATCCGGCGATTGTTATAAAATTTATCATCAAGAGATGAACAAAAACAATCAGATTTTAATTATTAAATTGATATTACCACGGACTTCGTTAATGATTAGTTCAACCAAGAACCAGAAGAATCACGATTCATTATTTTAATTCACTCACACTCAAATAAAACAACTTGGTTAAGAACCATTTCGCTTCACGATTAGCTTTCGTGTAGTAAAATTTGCGATAATTATCCTTTTTATTCAACTTTTCTCTGCCTATAAACAATGAATCCGTAGTAGACTGATATATTCCGAATACGGTAAATTTTTTGTAAAATCGTCTAGTACACAGTTTCTGCGATAAATAAATGAACCCATTTGGAAAAATATATATTCTGAAAATTATATATTTTATATATGGAATTGACCTGATTTATATGTAAGTTAGATAAAACATAAATTTATGTACGTTTCATACATATTGTTGCGTATTTGTTCTTTTAGACGGAATAGAATAAGACGATCGTGCCTTATTCTCTTCCGTTATTCTTTCATCTCGTGTTTTTTTCCGCGGACGTATCTTTTTAATTTGTACTCTTTTCATCATTTATTTCGCCCCAAATTCTTTAAATAAAATGATTATCTATTAAAAGTCGTCGCTTTCTGAACAATATTTTATATAAATCTTATATATATTCGAAGAATGTATTAAATTGGCCTATACTATATCTATTTTTTATATATTTTTCCATGCTCCAAGTAACTCAGAATCTTTTCCCGCAATCCATAGGGACTAACTTTTGTGTGGTATTATCTTGAAATATCCCTTAATATCGGTAACTCGTCGATTTGCCACGCCTCCGTCCCCGTACCACTAAACCCGTAATTTCTCCAGATACACCCTCGACGACGACGGCGACGGTGCCTTCGCGATCGACTCCACGACCGGTATCGTCAGGACCGCCAAACAACTGGACCGCGAGTCAGTCGCTAGGTACACCCTGAAAGCAGTCGCCGTCGACCGCGGGATCCCCGCCCTTTCCTCAACCGTCCCCATCATAATCAAGATCCAGGACGTCAACGACTCCCCGCCCGCCTTCGAGAGCGACAAACTGATCCTCTACATCCCCGAGAACTCCCCCGTGGGCTCCACAGTCGGCGAGATCTACGCGCACGACCCGGACGAGGGTCCCAACGCAGTCGTCCAGTACTCCATCATCGGCGGTGAAGACGCCAACAGCTTCGGACTGAACACCGCCCAGGGGGCAGACCGCGCCGAACTGGTCACCCTCGAGGAACTCGACTACGAGTCCGCCAAGAAGAAGTTCGAGCTCTTCGTCCGGGCATCCTCGCCGCCCCTCCGTTCAGACGTCCTCGTCCAGGTGATGGTGACCGACGTAAACGACAATGCACCTGTCCTCAAAGACTTCCAGATAATCTTCAACAACTTCAAGGACTTCTTCCCCACAACCTCGATCGGCCGAGTTCCAGCGTTCGACGCCGACGTAACCGACAAGCTATCTTACAGCATTCTAGCCGGTAATACCGCCAATTTGATATCATTAAACAGAACATCCGGCGAGATAATCCTGTCACCTCAATTAAACACTAACGTCCCGCGAGTCGCAACGATGGAAGTTTCCGTGTCGGACGGAGTTAATGAGGCCAAAGCGACCATGACCATGTCCATTCGATTGATAACCGACAAAATGCTGCATAACTCGATAACCGTGAGATTAGACGACATGACGGTCGAAGCCTTCTTGAGCCCCTTGCTGAATTACTTCATGGACGGTCTTGCGGCGATCATCCCCTGCCCCCGTGAGAACATCTTCATCTTTAGTGTGCAAGAGGATACAGACGTCCAGTCGAAGATCTTGAATGTCAGCTTCTCAGCGAGGAAGGTCGAGCCAGGAAACAACGACGAATTCTACAGTCCACAGTACCTCCAGGAGCGGGTCTACCTCAACCGTGGGATCTTGGCTAGGCTGTCAACCCTGATTGTCCTCCCCTTCGACGACAACCTCTGCGTGAGGGAGCCCTGCCTCAATTACGAAGAATGCGTGACAGTCCTGAAGTTCGGAAATGCCTCAGGTTTCGCCAGCAGCAACACCGTTCTATTCAGACCGATATACCCAGTGACGACCTTCTCCTGCAAGTGCCCTCGAGGCTTCACTGGGAGTAGAGAGGCTTATCTCTGCGATATGGAGGTGAATCTCTGCTACTCGAACCCGTGCACCAACGGCGGCACCTGCCAGAGGAAGGAGAGCGGCTACACCTGCGTCTGTGGGCCGAATTACACCGGAACAAACTGTGAAGTCTCTCTCAACACTGACACCTGCTCCCCAGGGATATGCCGGGGGGAGTCGCAATGCATTAATCGTCTTGGTGGTGGGTTCAGCTGCGAAAGCTGTTTGGGGTCTCCTCAGGACGGTGTAACCGACTTTTGTGAATTGAGGGCTAGATCCTTCGGCCCGACGACTTTCCTCACCTTTGGTTCCTTGAAGCAGAGACACAGACTTCACCTGAGACTCACGTTCGCGACTGAAGCGCCTGAGGGTCTTCTCCTCTACAACGGGAGGTACAACGAGAAGCACGACTTCATCGCCCTGGAGATAGTAGACTCAAAGGTTCAGTTTAGCTTCTCCCTGGGGGATGAGATCACCAGAGCTAGGGCTGAGATCCCGGGGGGAGTGGCCGACGGCCAGTGGCACGAGGTCCAGATCATCTACATCAACAGAACAGTCACGATAGCTCTGGATGGCTGTGACGTCTCCCTAGCCCTGAGATACGGAGACAGATTGGGGAAGAAGTGGGCGTGCGCTGGGTCGGCCGAACAGATTCTCGAACCCCGCTGCAACTCCTTCACCGAGACCTGCCACAGGTTCCTGGACCTCACTGGACCCATGCAACTTGGGGGCCTCCCAGCCATTCCTTCAGACTTTCAAGTCCACAATAAGGACTTTGTCGGGTGCATCCGTGATGTCTACATCGACCACAAGTTCGTGGATTTGAATTCCTTTGTAGCTGATAACGGAACGACTGTGGGGTGTCCCGAGAAGAAGGCGTTCTGCGCCTCGATGCCTTGTCACAATGGGGGAACGTGCAGGGAGATCTGGTCTGGGTTCGTTTGCGAGTGTGAGGAAGGCTTCGCTGGGCCTCAGTGCAGCGATGAAGTCGGCAAGCCTTGGCGGTTCCATGGAGACGGCGTCTTGAGTTTCAATCCTCTGTTGAGGCCCATTCAACTCCCTTGGATGACCGCCCTGAGCCTCAGGACGAGGGCAAGCAACGCCTTCGTGATGAGCATTCAGATCGGCCAGAACAGCTCTGCCTTGTTCTCGTTGAAGGACGGTAGGTTGGAGGCAGCTTTGGATGGGGTTGACATCATCAAGACAACCACGCCCGTTAACAACGGCGAGTGGCACAGGCTGGAGATCATTTGGCAGTCTGGGCACGTCTCCCTGGACATTAACTACAGGAACAGACCCCTGATCTCTCCGTTACCAGCTAAACTCCAGGGGTTGTACGTGGGGAGGATCCTCTTGGGGGGCGCTGACCAGTCTGTCAATCCTGATCAACCCTTCTTCGATGGCTGCCTCCAGGACCTCAGGATTGGAACCAATCAGTCTATCCTGCAGCGACCGACCGCTCAGGAGAACGTGGGGACTGGGTGTCTGGCTGATGACGAGTGCAGTGTGACTTGTCCTGACGAGTCCACTTGCCTCACCAGGTGGCAGTCCTCTGAGTGCGTTTGCAATGCGGGGAGGGTTGGGGATCACTGCGAGGGGATCTGCGATGTCAATCCTTGTCACAGTGAGTCCGGTCGCTGTGTCGAGGATTCGGAATTGAGGAAGGGGTACAAGTGCGAGTGTAATAGCGAGGAGTACTCGGGGGAGTACTGCGAGGTCAGGGTGGACCAGCCTTGTCCGGCTACGTGGTGGGGCTCGCCGGTTTGTGGGCCCTGTCACTGTGATGAGGCGAGGGGGTACAATCCTTCTTGTAATAAGACCACGGGGGAGTGCTACTGCAAGGAGAATCATTATCAACCCTCGGGCCAGGAGGAATGCATTCCCTGCGAGTGCTATGCTACCGGGAGCTATGGGCCGAGGTGTCATACGGAAACAGGTCAGTAGTAAAGCTAGGGAGAAATGACCGTCATTTTTGAGATCGTGGGTAATGATTAAGGGTGCCAAGTGAATTTGAAAAAAGATTCAAAAAAACGTTTTTTTTCCCTCCATCATTGGAGAAATATGTATTCATCCATCCGACGAAATTTCAAACCCGCAACCGGAACTAGACATCGAGAAAATAAATGCGGAAAATCCTCTATTTCGCGTGACGAACCTCGAGAAAGCATGGGATCAAATGGGTACGGCGGGTTGAAATATCTCTCTTATTCACCCCGGTACC